GTAATGGAAAGATCCTAGGTGGAGGGATTGAGTAATACTCCCTCCGTCCTAAAACTTTCTTCCCGGTTCGCAAAACGAAGAAAAATCCCAAGTTTTTTCAATCTATTTTATTTAAATATTGGTATAGAAATAAAAAATAAAACATACATATTTAAAAACTACATCAAAAGTTCAACAAAACAAGTGGTGACAAGAATATTTTATTTTATCATATAGGCCATGAAAAAACACAAATAAATATAAATTCCCGTGAAGTTGGAATAGTGCTCTGGGAAGGAAAGTTTTAGGAGAGAGGGAGTATTTTTCTTGAATAATCCTTGTGAGAAATTAAAATGTTGCAGTGAGACATTGGAGGCATACTCGAAAGAAGTGAGGGAACTGTGCAAGCAAGTGCTGAAATGCATAGCCACGAGTTTGGGAGAGAGGGAGGATGTGTTCGGAGAGATGTTCGGCGCCGCCGTACAGGCGGTGAGGATGAACTACTACCCGCCGTGTCCGTCGCCGGAGTTGGCCGTGGGGCTCAGCCCCCACTCGGATGGGAGCGCGCTCACGGTGCTGCAGCAGGGCCTGTTTGGCAACCCCGTCGGACTTGAGATTCTTAAAGGCAGTTATTGGGTCCCTGTTCGACCCCTTCCAAACGCTCTTGTCATTAACATTGGCGACACCATCGAGGTTATTATACAATGCACTTTATTTTTTGTGGGAGTGAGGTGGAGGAGGGCTTAGAAGTCTTTACCATAATTTTTTCACTATAAGAATTTTGTTTTTAATTTTAATACCTACTTTTCATGTAATTTGTTTGGAAAATGCTAGGGGTACACCAAAAGTGTACTCCAAACATCCCCCACCCCCTCCATCACCACACAAAAAGGGCAAAAAAATTCAAGAAAAAGTAAAAACTAAAAATAAAATAAAATGAATGGTAGAGAGGGAGGGTGGTGTACATTTGAGGTACACCTTTGGTGTACCCCTAGCATATCCCAATTTGTTTTTAGTACATTATTTTACATACTATAGTACATGATTTTGAAAAATCTAATGCTAGCGGGTCAGTAACGTCGAGTTTGGATTTGGTCGGGTTTTACGCATTTTTAGGGAGTCATTTCGTGTAATTTCGAGTTTGGGTCAATTTTTGTCAGGCCCAATCGTGGCGACCCCGTCACGGGTTTTTCGAGTCAATCTGAGCGGCTCCGTGTTATTTCGAGTTTTTGAGTGATTCGACCAGATTGGTTTGGTGTCTGGTTACCGGTCCAACTGGCAGATGGGGTTTGATTTCAATAAAATTGGTTTGGGAATTTTTTTTTTCAGTTTTTGAAAAAATATACTCCCTCTGTCCACAAATCAACTTTACATTTACTATTCACAGGTTCAAACTTTATTCATTTTGTTGGCCTATTTTCGTCACTCATTTGATAAAATAATATACTCATGTCACATCTAGTTTTGTAGATCCTTTAATATAGTTTTTTAATATGTAATTTTATTTTTCAATTCTATACCATTTTTCATATAAAATATTTGAAAATAATTTCAGCCAAACATCGTAACGCGCAATGTAAAATTTATTTGTGGACGCAGGGAGTGTATATTTATGAATCCATAATCCAAATTGGATGGTGCAGGTTCTAACAAATGGAAGATACAAAAGTGTGGAACATAGGGCAGTGACCCACAAAGAAAAGGACAGGCTCTCAATAGTCACCTTTTATGCCCCATCCTACGAAATAGAGTTGGGCCCATTGCCGGGCCTTGTGGATCAAACCCACAACCCGCCCAAATACAAACGATATAACCACGGAGATTACAGCAGGCATTACGTCACCAATAAGCTTCAAGGCAAGAAAACCTTAGACTTTGCCAAGATTATCTCAAATTGATTTTTTGATTTTGTTAAATTTGACTTTTTCGAGTCAAATTAGACAAATTTTAAGTTTCAATTACTCTCGATTTGTATTACATATTACTCGAGTTTTACAATGAATTTTTTTTATAGTTCTCAATAGAATAAATCTAATATATTTATTTTTTACAAATATATACCATGATTTTTATTTAATTGAAAATCAAGTTTAAGCAGTTTTACTCGAAAAAATAAAATTGAAAAATATATCAGAATAGATAAAGTAATATGGAGTAATAATAAATAATAATTACCCGTCATATGTCATTAATTAGGGTGGTGCCACTCTTACACCCCCAATATATAATTTATGATGGGGTGGGGGCGCTAGAGGTGGGCGATTCCACCTTTTGGACCGATGATGGGCTTGATTTACACTTTGGAGATTGATCCCAACACGTGTAAATAGATGATCAAAAATTTGATTAAAGTTTGCATTCATATCAATTTAAATAACGACAAATTATATGTATTTGTTTGAAATAAATATTATCCGAATTTAATTACTAGTATTCAAACTATAAATGTATGTAGATATGATCATCAACTAGATTCGACATTCATTTTGTGTATCAGTTATTTTTATTTCAGATACCTTGTGGTCCAGCGAAATCATTCTGACTCTCCCAAATAAAAGATCACATGTTCGAACACAGTTAACAATAGTAATTCTCCAAGCTCCTATAGGTTGCGAAAAAATATAAATAAATACTATGTTGTAATAGAATTATTATTATTAATTGAAACTATATTACAAGTGTATGCTAAAACAATTTTAAAAATATTTTACATAAACTTTATGTTTTAAACAAAGGTTGGTATTTTTAAAAGTGAATAATATATTAATTGCTATAGTACTGTTTGATAGTTTTTCCATATTCTTAATGCGGTGTTTTAGAATATATATATATATATATATATATATATATATATATATATATATATATATATATATATATATATATATATAGAAATTCCACATGCATGTAAATGCATGCAAAATTGTGTATGTTGTGTACTTTTCTATGGCAAATTCGTATGTAGTCCTTAGACTCATTCTTTTAAACATCTATACTACGTATGTTATAATAATAAACAAATTAAAGAATATATATTATCGAAAAAGGAAAAACATTACCAAATTTAAATTGAATAAGAATATTAAAATAATTATATATGCATATACTCCCTCCGTCCCAGTGTATTTGTCCAGTTTGACTTTTTCGAGTCAAACTGGACAAACTTTGAGCTTGAATTAAATAAAAACGGTAATATATTTTAACATAAAAATGACTTTACTGAATTTCTCGTATTGAGAACTTTCAAAATTGTATTTCATTATGCTAATATGCAATATAAATTGAAAGTAATTAGAGTTCAAAGTTTATCCAATTTGACTCAAAAAAATCCAATTGAACAAATACACTGGAAATGGATGTGTTATCGAGAAGCCATAATAGTAACTGAGAAATTTATTGTTTGACCAGAGCGAGTCTGTTTTTAGAGTTGCACGCCAAATTTTTGAAACCATATCAATTTCGTACCCCCTCCGTTCCATAAAGATAGGAACCTTTCTTAAAAAAAGAAACTTGAATTAAACTCGATAAAATTGTTTGTCTTTTCTCGGGGGAGAAGAGAGAATTTGTCAAAGCTCTCATATTGAATTGGTTTTCTTTCATGATGGGAAATAAGACAAGGAATAAGACAGAAGATAACACTCGATTCAAACATGGTTTCCTTATTAACTTATTCTATAACGTCCCAATGACTTCTAATTTAATTTTATTACTTTAGATGTGTTGACAACTCAGTATTTCATATTTTATGTCAACCAAAACAATTCAATGTAATTAAGCTCAAAATTGGTCGAGCGGAGCTATAGTAGCGATTAAAATCTGATTTTCAAAGTATGGTGTGCAGAAAAGAATCTGAGAGTAATATTGTGTAATATGATAAACCTAAACCTTATTTTTATTCTTACTACCGACCCTGATCCGTTGCTATACCTACTTATTGTCCCCCCCTCCTCAGGCCCTAACAAGGGCAGTCCAAAGGTTGGTCAGGATGCCCTGCCGGCCTAGGCCCATTTTTTCAAGGATCCAACCTTTTTTATTTTTAAATATATATTACTCTGTATATAAAAATAATGTTAATTGTTGTATTAAAAAATATCATTTAATTTGTTAGAGCTACGGGCTTATTTTTTTGTCTCGTCCAGAATTTTTGATACCTCGGGCCGCCCCTGGCCCCTGACTATCAATATTGTTGCCGACCACATCTGCCATTCATATCCATCGATATGATCGACTTCCACCAACCACATTGTCGCAATTGCCTGCCGCCGCAACCAATTAACGTTAGTAATCAACATCATTCCTTACTTATCATCACAACAATCGAAGATGTGGCTACAGCAAGTGATCCCGACATAAAAAACAAGAAGGAAAAAGATACAAAAGCTAACAACCTATACCAAAAACATAAAGTGACCCTATATTACGGATTACTTTTAACTATTAAAGCCTATAGAATGAGAGAGACTTGGAAACATAATCGGAGATTGAACATTTGGACCTTGAGTCATAAATATTCTCTCTATATTAGAAGAGCTCTCTCCCCCACCACGACCGTACACCCCGGCACGCAACGACTAGCGAGAGAAAATAAAAAAAAGTCTCACCTTTTTCCTCTGATTTTGCGTCCGCCCCATCAATTTCGAGTCCATGAAGCTATCAAGCTTCTGTTCCGCAACAACCCAGACCCAGGTACATGCTTCCTTCCCTCTCTTTTCCGCATATGGTATTGTATGAAAACAGTGTTTGGGTTCATGCGTGGCGCATCTGTTGTCTTTTCTTGGTCTTTGTTTGTTATGCATTTAGAAACTCCGAGACGGCAAGACCCATATCTGCGCTTTTTTAATTCATGGTGCTCTCTAGATGTTTGCATATATGCTTGTTCGCAGCAATGGTTAGGTTTCTTGGGTGTGAAGCACGACTGAGTTAAGTGGGCAATGGGAGTCTTTGGGGAGTTTGATTTTGGTGGGATCGCCTCCTCCGGGATTTGCTCTGTGGAGATGGGTCTCTAGGGGACTTGTTGGATATTCTATGCTCTGTGTGATATATGCATTGTTCCGGTTTTCGTTCTCTGTGTTTTCTTTCTGGCTTCTGGGTATGAGGTTCTTGATTTGTGTTTTTTTGCGTTGCGTTGGTTTGGTTGGATTGATGAGAAGGTCTCTCTGTGGAGTTTGTGGTGTTGGTTTTTAGTTTGTGGTTTTTTTTGTTGTTCTTGGAAAATGGATCTGGGATTTGATAAATAGTGAATTTATTTGTTTTTCTTGTTTAGATGAATAACAAATTTATAAACTATGCTGTGTAATTGACTTGCACAATATGCTTTAGCCTTTAGCTTAAATTTAATACTTTGCTTTCACATTTCTCTATGTAATGTTCATGAGCACCCTTCCAAGTACTTGATCAATACCCCATAGTAGCCTAAATGTTGAAAATACAAATTTAGCACAAGAAATCCTAATCAACTATATCATTAGAAAATAACATACACACATACATGCGAGTGGATATGCATCCGTATAAATATGTATTCTTAGGCGGCTTTATATAGGCAGCTTGGTTTCCTTATGACATTAGGTTGTTAAAAACAACACAATATAATTTTATATTTTTGGCAATGTTGAAGAAGTTGTTAGGAGCTCTTCTTTAGGCGACAAACAAGCACATAGTGCCAAGGCACATTGCCTCAAAAGATTAAGTGTTTAAGAGCACTGAGCATAGGCATTAGTGCAATTAGCAAGCATTTGAGTTTTTAAGTTGACTTGAGTAATTTAAGTCCTTCAAATGCACAAAAAGAATAATCCAGTAGTCGGGCAATGAGTGTGTGGTGCTCAAGTTTTTGTCCACACTACATAGGCTCCTAACCCCTAAAAGTTTTCAATTTCGAAAGGTAAGATTGGGTCCTGAGGCGGTTGGCCATTGCATCAAGAGGCATAAGCCTCAAAATAATATAGATATAATACTAGTAGTAGTTTTAATAATAGCATTAGTAATAATAATAGTAATGATGATGATGATAATAATAATAGTAATAGTAATAATAATAACCACAACAACAACATTGTTATAAGAAAATAATAATACAACAACATTGTCAAGATGTACATAGTATTATTCATGTATAATGTACCTTTTTTTATTTAGTCCAATATTTGCCAAAACTAAATCATTGTCAATCTCCATTAGCAATGGACGGGTATAAGAAAATTGTTATAACAACAACAATACACACAAAAGTAGTACGAGTAATAATTATAATAATAATAATAATAGTAGTAGTAATAATAATAATAACAACAACAACAATAGTAATAATAATAAGCCTCATTTCCATCTTCTTCCATATCACGATCCTCGTTATTCTTGTGGAGAGTAGAAGTAGTTTTTAAAAGATATGACATCATTGCTTATACCATTAATTCACAATGATGCCATCCTTTAGCTTAGAACTTGCTCATCATCATCATCATTGTAAAAAGCTCTAAATATTGCTCATTTGGATGTATTTGATGATGAGAAAATATTCTCTCTTGCATAGTATACAATCTTCATCTATACCACATTAATGGGTACTATAAGGGCATCGAGAAGAGAGAGAGAGGGATGGGTTGTTGTAGAAAAGAAAAAAAAGAAAAAAAAAGAAGAAGACGATAGGAAAACATAAAAAATATGTCATGAACTACATTAAGAAAACATAAAGCCTTGTAATTGTCATTAGGATATTGTGGGGCATATTGGTTTGGCTAACCAAAAGATAAACAATACAAGTTTGGTATTGTATCTTCAATAGTGGAAACTTAATGACTTAAATAATGGTAGCAAAGAACCAACATGATAAATATTTGCTAATCAAGTGACCATACATATCACATCAAATCCCATATAGCACGAGAGGACCAATCACATTGGGTTTACCGGCCACTTTATTTGAGGAAAGATTGAATTTGGACACATTATCACAACCAATTGTTAACATAGAAAACTAGTTTCGAGACATGGGAGCGAAGAGGCAACACATTTATTGTGTGATGATCAACACACAAAATCAGCTTGCAAACATCTTAACAAAATCTCTCGTAGGTGTGAATAAAACATATACTCCCTCCGTCCCTAAATAAAGTTCCATTTTTGACTTTTTGAGGATTTAAGGGAGGGATATTTTGGTGTTGACTTTCCAAAAATACCCTTGATGTGATGTGTTAAAGTAAGATGTGATAGGTAGATTATTAGTAAAAAGGTATAATGTGATAGGTAGGGTATGAAAAAGTAAGGGGTAAAAGGGGTTTTTTAAGGGAAAAGAGAAGTTTATTTAGGGACAAAGAAAAAACGAAAGAGGAACTTTATTTAGGGACGGAGGGAGTATGTAACAAGCTTAGTCCAACAACAAAAGCATCACCATCCAACCCGGTAAATCCCACGAGTGGGATTTGGGGAGTGGGTGTACACAGGCCTTACCTCTACCTAGAAAGGTATAGAGGTTGTTTTCCAAAAAAACAAAAAACCCAGTGTAACAAGCTTAGTCCATATGCTTTATACGCTCGAACTTGAGGAGAGTATGGAGAAGATTTTTAGCTTATTGTCATTTTGAATGATACACATTTTATTCATTAGTTAAATTTATTGTCGTTTTAATTTGCATAATTTTCCTGAACTTTTTTTACAATTTCCAAATATGGTTTGTTGTGTTTACTAGAATATTTATTTATTTTTCAATGGAATGAATTTATTTTATAACCCCTAGTTATGCAATTGAGAACTTTTGTTTCCTTCTTGTTAACTTCTGTGTAAATAGTCCTTGTTTATACTTCTTTGTGGCGGTGCTACAACCTATTTTCTCTGACACTTTGTCCTATAGTGGAATCACTAGAACTATCCCCTAAGGTTCAACTAACCAAAAATGGAATTGCAAGTGCAAAGGTAATAAAAAGAGATTGAAATTACTATAGGACAAACACAAAAATAGAAATTTACCCTTTTTAGTTATAGAAATTTAAATTACTAGAATTTATTAGATATTACAAAAAATTGAGTGCAAATAACTTCTTCAAACCTCATCATGTCATACACTTTGGGATGCGGAGCTATAAAACTCAAACACCCTCATATCATAGTCATAGTCCAAAATATAGAGTACATCTTTATTATTACAATCAATAATTGTATTTTTGATATAACATCATATCTTACTCTATAGCTTGTGGGCTTTGGACCTAGGTGTTTGAGTTGGTGTTTGCTTCTTCTCTTTTTGATCGTTCTTCGTTAGTGCTATTGTGGTTTGTTTATTTGTACTCATGTGCTTGAGCCAAGGGTCAGTTGGAAACAACATCTCTACTTCCAAGTAGGGGTAAGGATTGCGCACACTCACACTCCTCACACCCTACTTTATGTGGGATTTAACTAGGTTTCTTGTTATATTAATACAATCAATATGTGCAATGTGCTTGCTTTCTCAGGTATCTATATATTCTCTCGGTCCCAAATTAAACTTCTAGTTTGCTTTTTCACGGTGTTTAAGGAAAAGTGAAATTGTTTGGTTGAGATTTATGTAGAGGAGATAGAATTAATGTGGACCTCACCCAATCCATTCCTTTAAAGGATTGAGAAGTTTATTTTGGGACACCCGAAAAAGGAAAGTGAGAAGTTTATTATGGGACTGAGTGAGTTTTAGCTTTCACTTTGTTAGTGGCTTGTGACTATTCATCATCTGCTGGATCTTAAACCCCTTAGTTTCAGTTGTCTTTAATAAGTTAATTTGGAATTAATTTGAATGTTATGATTTATGGGACTAGAGAAAAATATTTTTCCTTCTATAGAGATATTGAGTTGATATTAATGCATCTCATGAAGTTTCTCAATATCTTGTCAATCTCTTTTTTGGGGGGTCATCAACAGATGATGATTTATTAGCACTTTGCTGAATAATAGAAAAATAAGAAAAGCATTTCCACCGAATGATTGTTTTCTGTGAGAACCGTTTAATGGACACTGCTAAAGCACGATATAGAACAGAAAGGTCTGGTTTACTGTCTATTGTTAACTTATGCTATGCATTGGCCCTTTTCATTCACTTTTATGTATTACAACCAAAACCGTTAAATGCTATAACAAGACATGTTACACTTAAAACTATTACAGTCTGTCATAGTCTAGATATCATTCTATTTTTGAAGTTGGGTTACTTTTGAATTTCCTTATAACTTTTTCTTCTATAAAATCTTTGATTCTTAAGCATATGTACTCCGACAGGTTCCTAGTCAATTTGTATAAACATTGAGATTGAGGCTTTTGCTTTCTTACCCATCTGTTTCTTATTATATAATCTTAGGTTTTATACTCTTATATGTTTTTCTTCACATCTCAATAAGCAAAGTTTATCTGACCAGTGAATCTAATTCCCTTCCCCTATAAATTGAACACCGTGAAATGTATGATCACTTAGAACCCAGGTACAAAATTCAAACCCATCCCATGCCCCCATCCCCTTTTCCTTCCATCGTTCACACACAGTAAGAAATCTTAACATGTCATAATATGTGTTTATAAAGGTGGATTTTTTTATGTGTGTGTACATGTATAGTATTAGATCCAAATGGGAAATGTAATTCATATACTGAAATAAATTAGACTGGGATTAGAACTTTGCTGAGCTGTATCTATTAGCTTTTTAAAAAGATATACATTTTCCATGGAATCCTACATGTTCAGTTCCCTCAGTCCCCCTTCTATCACGCACCTCGCCAGACGGCCAGTTCCTCACAGAGCATATTTTGGCAACTTGAATGCGTGTATGTCTTTAGTCCTTGTTAATTATATATGTGCATGACATCATCGTACTTATATAAATGCTCTTATTTCTCTGAGACACGACCTGGGTAGAGGGGCTCTTGAGGTGTTTGTGGAGTTTGATTGTGATGGCATCACTTTGGGTATCTGTTGTTAGGTGATGGCTTACTCCAAGCTTGTTAAGAGTCTGTCTTTTTGCACACAACCATATATGCTTTTCTCTATTCAGGCTGTTGTGTTATTTCTCACATTGGATTTGTTTTTGATTGAAAGGGATTTGGGAGTTGTAGATCTTGTTATGTGCTGAAAGCCTCGAAAAATAATTATTGTCATATTAGCAGTTATCATTTGGTGTAGATATATGTTCTTTTTTATGGGGGTGGAGGGATGAATTACGAGTGATTGGATATTTGCATTGCATTTATTTGTTTATATTTATGATAATGCAACTCCATTTGTCTAATATTTGGTCAAAGCTTTTTATTTCCTGGTCTTTCCCTATCAAGACGCAGTTGGATTCATGTTTTGTGTATATAATATTAGAAGTTATTTTCCGATGTTTTCCTCTTTTTTATTATTTTTATTTTATTTCTTGTTAATTTTAGGAGGAATAAAAAGATCGGTTGCTTTTATGATTACATTAATGTTTCTTAATGACTATCTTATCCCTCTGTTATCGTGGATTTCAAGGAATAAATAGATGAAGAAGCGACAAAATTCTTCCAGTACATTTATTGAAAAACGCGAAAAGCGTTCTCAAGAAGCGGTGGTACTCATGTATCCTCAGTAAGAACTCCTCAGACGGCTCTGCTTTCGCACAGTAGAGAACAAAAAAGCAGGCTGTTTCTTCCATTTAAGGTGAGCATTATTTCATGCATATCCCTTATATTTGATTCTTACCGATTCAAGACGGGAATAAAATTGTGAAAAAATGAACTGGTATTGCTTTGCAATTGATTCAATCTATTCCGCTTTGTTTACCATTTAAGGTATCCATAATTTCCACTCTAACAAATCTTTCTTATAATAATTTCTTTGATTTTTTCGTATTTGCTAACAATCTGAGATAAATTATTTTAGTTTCTTTGTATGGTAGGCATTGCGACTCTGCCTTGCTTTAATAGATTTGCTTTTATACAGTTTACTTCGGTATTTGTGTGTACAAAATCCGTATTAGCTTTTTCTCTTCAATGGATTCAATTCAAATGAATTGGAATGCAGATTGTGTTGACGACATGGCTGCTGGGAAGTTACTCCCAACTGATTCCCCTAAAGCTGGTGGCGTGTTTGGGGAGCCACAAATATTCCCTCGAGTGGGGGAACAGTATCAGGTTGATATTCCACCATATACACAGAATTGGACTGATGATGATGACTCTTGGGATGTATTTGTTGGACTGCACATACCTTTAAGGTGGGCAAATCTTGGAGGAAAAACAAACCAAAAACTGGATGGTTCACAAATTGCATCTAGTAGCAGTGGACCCGAGTCATCGTCAGATATTATCTTGGAGGATGGAAAGTTAATAAATGCATCAATTGAGGATAAACAACCAAAAGGGGAATGTCCAGGCTACTGTTTACTTCCCGACGGCATTGTTGATCCGTGGACTAAAAATGAGAAGGCAGGTTTCCTCCTTGGTCTCTATGTATTTGAGAAAGATTTTACTCACTTGAAAAGGTTTGTTCAAACTAAAAAGGCCTGTGACATAATGTCATATTATTATGGGGAGTTTTATGGATCTGATGAGTACCGTAGATGGTCAGACGGTCGAAAAGTTAGAAGCCGGAAGTGTGTGTATGGGCAAAAACTTTTTACTGGATCAAGGCTGCAGGAACTGTTAGGTCGCTTACTTCCTCACATGTCAGCAGAGCGCCAAAATGAATTGTTGGAGGTAATTTTATCATTGCTAAAACTTCTGTTGAACTGGAATTGGTTATTGGTTTCTCTTTTGTACCTTCATGTGCTTGTGTAGTACCGATGTTGTCATTTTATCTCCTTTCATCTACTACTAGAATGAGTTGTTAGTTGGGAGTTGATTTCTATCGTTAAATATGTGCGTAAAAGGCCAAATTCTCTCAATGGGAGCCTTTTAGTAAATTATTAGCACTTGTTTGTGTGGTGTCCGTGTTAATATATCCTTCTTTCATCACATCTTTATATATGAAGTGTGTAGATTTCATTTCTTCTTGCTAAAACTCTGAAGAAGGAATTAGTTGAATCAATACATTCAGTAGCATTGGTTGAAAAATGGAAAAAATGTACTTCTAATGCCATACTCCCTTTTAACTTGTTTTCCCCTCCTTATGGGTGCAGGCTCCAGCTTGGCAGTTCTTAAATATATCTTGGCTTTTATACCTTCTCTTTTATACCTTGCATAGCAGTTTATCTAGTGAAATTAGGAGTACACATGCACTAAAATAGAAATAATGACATAAAATGAAATTAGGAGTAAATATGGAAGGTATATATCTTTTCTCTCATTCCACTTAAGGGGATGAATTCTTTGAGTATGAGTCGTATGACTATTGACTAGTCAACCAAGAATGCAAACTACATCCATGAGACATATATGGTCTTCTTCTCCTATTGGATTTTGTATTTCATGTTTCTGTTTATAAAAATAGAAAGGAAGTTAAAGATGTATAACTATCTTGACTAGTTGCCATTGGTATATTAGTCTCGCTTTTCATGCTCTGTAATTTTCTTTTTCTTCATAGTTCATATTGCATTTAGCGCTAATTTCATTCTGACTATTCAATTCTTTAAGAAAATTGTACTCCCTCCGTCCCAACTTTGGTTTACGGTTTATTATGTTTGATCAAAGTTATTTTCAATAAAATTTATTTGAATATTGAGGTGAAATTTTAAAAAAATAAAATTTACAATTTACAAACGAGTATTTAAAAACTATCTCAAAAGTTCTATAAAACAAGAGGTGACATGTCTATTTTATTATACCAATTTATTAATGAAAATAAGTAAAGAAAGAAGAAATGTCTTTGACTTGTGAATGGCGAAGGTGATTTTTATTTAGGGGCAAAAGGAGTATAAGCTATATATCTCTTTTGGAATCTGTTTTTGATAGCTTGTCATTTTACAGCTCTCCAAAACATTTGGGGAGGGAAAAGTGCAATTGGAAGAGTTTGTCTTTACGTTGAAGCATATGGTGGGAATGGCCAGTCTCATAGAAGCAGTTGGAATAGGCCAAGGAAAACAAGATCTCACAAATATGACCTTAGAACATACAAGGTCCAATCATGTCATTACCGTGCGTTCAGAGGTACCAATTGGCAAAGCTTGTGCCTCTCTTAAACCGGCTGAAATTATCAAGTATCTGACCGGAGGTTGTAGACTGAGCAAAACACGGTCTAATGACTTGTTTTGGGAGGCCGTGTGGCCACGTTTACTGGCAAGAGGTTGGCATTCTGAGCAACCTAAAAACATGGCTTATGCTGCTGGTGGTGGTGGTTCCAAGCAGAGTTTAGTTTTTCTCATGCCTGATGTTAAAAAGTTTTCTCGGAAACTCATCAAGGGGAGCCATTATTTTGACTCTGTTACAGATGTTCTGAGCAAAGTTGCTTCTGAACCTAAATGGATTGACCTTGATACAGATGATCAAGATGGTAAAAAGAAACAAGAAGATGAAAGAGGGGATGATGGATCAAAGATGGACACGGACGATCTGTCTACGATGAGATGTCACTCTTATCTTCAACCAAGAACTCCTAACCAATATACAGATGACATTAAATTTACTGTTGTTGATACCAGCCTTTGCAGCTCTAAACCCTACAAAGTGAGAAATTTGAGAAGCTTTCCGTTGGAAATTTCAAGAAAATTGTGCCCTCAAATTCATTTTGAGGGTAAGTCGAAGGACAACAATGTTGATAACATGTCCCTTGATCAAACTGAGCCAGTTCGTGCTGGATCCAATACAACCTTACCTAGTGGTGAAAGATCTTTCCACAGGAAAGATCATGAAGTGGGTGCTACAAATCGGAAGGTGTCACATTTTAGAAACCAAGCGCTCCATGCCGACAATACTTTGAACAATGAAGATCTTTGTGAAGATTCGAAGTCAAGAAAGGTGTTGAAACCCTGCATTGGCCGTAAAGTGAAAAAAGAAAATGCAGACAATACAGGGCATGTTTCCAAACGACCCCGGGGACTAACTGCTGGTAGTCACACAGAGACAAAAAATATAAGCTGTGTTTCCAGAGAGGAGGTGCCAAGTTATTGTTTAAGCATGAATAATATGCCTTCAAGCAATGCTCTGCAGATGAATTCCAATGAGGATAGAATATCATCCAATGTTTCATCAAAAAGCAGTCCTTCTGAGAGCATTGAACGCGTGGCTGTTAATAAATTTTTTGTTGCAGAAGTGTCTCCTGCAGAACATCGACCAAAGGTCTTGATTGACCTTAATGTGCTTCCAGACTCGCCAGGTTCTGAAAATGGAGTTGCCGTAACAGATACCACTGAAGAACAGACTGATAGCCAAAAGAAACCCGAAAGTCATTGTGAATTGCAATTGTTAAGCAGTGTAGACACTTCTGGTCAGCAGCAGCCAGCTATGGCGAGTTCAAGGAGGCATAGCACCAGAAACCGTCCTCCAACCACGAGAGTACTCGAAGCTTTGGCCAATGGGTTCTTGACTGTAAACAGAAGGCCAAAGAATAAAGAAGCCGGATCACAACAAAATTTGGGGTCAAAGAGTTCACAACAAGCCCATGGCAGAACAAAGACTGCTGGGTTTGGGAATCACTCTCAAGTGTCCAAGATTGATGAGGAAACACATGGTGTTTGCAGTAGCAGGGCAAAGAAAGATGTGTTCAGCAAACTAAAGGCTCCGCCTAACCAGAATGGGCGAACCATCGGAGGCCTCTGAACTTGTGAAACATGTTCCCTCCTCCTACTTCAAAGGTTCAAACTGGTTGTGACTATTGTAAGTGTTCCTAGTCTTTCTACTCATCACTCATTTCTTTGTTTTATTTGAGAGAGCATGGTGTGAATACTTTGCCAATTTACAAAAAGTTTTGCATAAAAGTCACTCCTTCCGTCCCAAAATAAACATCACACTTTCCTTTTCCGTCCCTCCAAATATAAACTTCACACTTTCCCCATTTCCTTTTCAGGAAAGGAATCCGTGGCTCACAATATTTCTCTATTCTAATCCTTTTCTTTACCACACACCTTTCACGTTTCAACACTTTTCTTGAACTCCGTGAAGTCAAACTATGAACTTTATTACGGGACGGGGGAAGGACACTTAGAAATTGATTGCTAGTTTGATACATGACCTTCATGGATGATTTACTTCCCGCAGGTATGAGTTTTAAAATGTCAAGCTGCTCCTCGAATGCGATGAAGACAAATTAACGAGTCAACCAATCTTTGTCAATGAGTGAGGTTAGGGAAGACAAATGAATGAAGTGTGCCTGAAGGATGCTGTCGAAGTGCCTCTTCTTCTTCTTCTTCTTTTATGCTGCTCTCCAGTCTCTCATTGTTGACAGAAGGATGCGACTCCCCTGCAACATATGATTCTGCGACTCAGTTCCGCCATGAAGTCAGTGAATGTAAATATTATATTGGTTTTAGATCTAATCCATAGTTGTTTGTATCCTTCATTATAGTGCAGAAACCCTTTGTTCTTATAGCAATTCAAATATAGTTCTCTCAGACCCCATCTGTTATTTCTCCCTGTCCTCTATATGCTTCATTATTTTCATTAGATCCTCCATGCATTGCTGTATTAACTTCAAAAAATCTCATAGAAAGTGTCAATCTAATAATAGTTAGCGCTGTATATTTTTAGTCTTTTGTTTGACTTTTCGAGCGCATTTAACGTCTGAAAATCGGTCCTCTTTCTGGTGTATGAGGGGGTCATTGTTATATAGAAGGGTTGTGGGAGAGAAGAATTGGATGCAAGAGAAGTATTGTGTTATTATTGTTACAAATTGCATTCTTTCACACTATTCTTGTTGTGCTCTTTGAGTAAATATATTTGTAGTACCACTACAACCTTGAGGAGTGTACATATATTTGGTACACTCCAACTTGTCACATCATCACTTCACTAAACGAATAAAATGATCTCAAATCATTAAAGAAATGAGGATTGAAATTCACGAACAAAAATTTACAAATTTTGTACTTTTTTGTTTGTGACTCTAACATTTCTCTTTGTTTTTTAATAACTAAATGTTGATCATCAATATATTTTATTGATTATCAACACCAGAGGATCAACAATAAACTATGGTGAGCCCCGCCCATTATATTCGCTATGTCCCATAACTTAATATACATTTCAAATTAGGCGTCCAAAAACTAAAGCCACATTTCTTTATTTGGCATAATCAACTCACTAAAACATTCCATCCGTCCTAAAACTTTTTTCTCAGTTCGGTTTACGAGATTTGACTGAAACTATTTTTAATTCAATTTATTTGATTATAGATGTAACATTAAAATATAAAAAATTCTATAACACAAAACGTGACATGATTATATTATTTTATCAAATAACTAACAAGAATAAGTGAAGAAAGTGATTAAAATTTTGTCATGTGAATAATGTCTAGGAAGAAAGTTTTAGGACAGAGGCGATATAATACTATGCCGTTTCAATCACATTTTTATATAAAAATATAAAAATTTTATTTATTCCATAAAATTCTTTGATATAAAAATATTGAAAATTGATATACTCTCTTCATTCCATAAAATTCTTTACAATTTCTTTTTTTGGATGCCTCAGAGAAACATTACATTTTATTTATTCCCAAGTTTGATAATGAATATGTGGCTATCGACAATTTCCTCTTCTAAATAAATTCTAATACAGATAACAATCTTTTTATTTTTAAAAAACTTTTTTAAATTTGCTAAATCTAATTCAAAGTCTCAATAATTTAATGGGACGAGGGAGAGTGTATTTGCCTTCATCCTGAAATATTTTTCTAATTTTGACTTTTTATAATTATTGATAAACTTTTACCGTAAACTAAACAAAATTGATATAAAATATTGATAAAAATTAATTTTATTAGATTTAATCTGTCAAATATTTTCTAATATTATTTTATCCAGCTAATATGTTTTATAATTTACTTTATTTATTAGTCAAAAATTGATTGTACTCCGTGATACTCCCTTCGTCCCGAAAATATTTGCAATGTTTGCTTTTTCGGCGTTGCGGGAACTTTTGTTTATTTATATGTTTTCATTGTTTATTTGATAAAATAAAATATTCTTGACACCTCTTATTTCGAAGAACTTTTCATGTAGTTTTTTGATATGTAAATTTTATTTTTTATTTCTATACCAATATGTAAATAAAATGAATTGGAAAAACTTGATATTTTATCTCGGGAATACAAATGTGGCAAATATTTAGGGAAAGAGGGAGTACATTTCTAAAAGGTTAAAAGGGGAGAGAGTATATTTTTTGTAATAAAAGTTGGTACGTGGAATCCACGCGACCACAAGCCGCTTGGGACGGCAGCTTCAGATAGTTCTTGGCGTCGTGAAAAGAGTCACCATTTTTAAGAGCTCTTTGTTTAGCTATGTCTATCGCGGAAGGTTCCGATGACATTGGGAACCAATGTCACCCGGGGTGCTCCGGTGCCCCGTTCGTAAAATTGACGGTTCCTACCCCTAACCCTCCCGGTAAACCTCCATCCCACGCCGCCCCGAACAAACCCCCTACCCTCTCCAATTGCACCCAACAAGTCGATTTTGACTTTGGAGTGACTCCAAAGTCATGGGAACCAAAGTGATGTCTAGAAACACCTTCTTCATTCCGTGCTTTAATTTCCTTCAAGAAAGGGCGTAATTACAGTACTTATTGGAATACCTAAGTCATTAGAGCCAGAGAGAACGGAAATGGGTCAGGCATTTCGTCGAGCAGCTGGAAGGATTGGAAGCTCCAGAACCGAAGCGTCGTCGTCACAGCTGAAGAACCCAATTGGAGCACCTCCGCCGCCTCACCCTGAAAGTATTTCCGTTAAAAATGTCGGCCCAGGAGCTGGTAAGTGCCTTAATTTGTGAGTTCGCATGAATTTTGATGGATCATCTCGAGTTTCTTGACATTTCAATTTTCAAGATTGAAGTTTTCACCAATAGGTTAAATTGCTTCAGATTGTAAGTTCAAATTAGGGTTTCTTCAATGCTGCTTGTAGAAAGTGATTTAGCTGCAGTTTGAGTAAATAGGACTCTCCATTACCAGTTCATTTTGTTGCAGAAAAATATTTAGTGTTCAGTAATTCAGAAACAGTTTTCATTAGTTTCCAATGCTTTGATGATGCGCACCGTGAGAATATATAAAGAAGAAGATGTTACTTTCTGAAAAATGGACAGCATATTAGAAACCCTCCGTAATACACCAAAATATTCTTCTTATTGGAGCACTTTGATGAGCTGTCAATCCCATCCGTTCTTGTGAGTTTGTACAACAACAACAATCATTAAGGTTCCACAAGTTGGGTCTGGGGTGGGTGGGTGGGTGGGCGCAGCATTGCCCCTACGTATTAAGGTAGAGAAGCTACCTACAAGAGATCCTCGGCTCAAGAAATTATAAACCCACTACCCAATTTCATTTCACAGCAAATTATTAGTATTCCATATTGCCTACAATAGGGATCTAGATCCCGTGGAGTACCTCCACTATGGAACTGCTCCACGGAATCCCAGTCCCTACAATCATCTAGGACATTATTTTCGGGTGAGTTGATGTAGTTTGTAATTGACGAACTGCATCTTTTATATGAGTGTCAGTGTGAATATTCTAGAAAAGGGAATTTCCCATCTCATCTTGTATAAAAGAACAAACCCATTTTGGCATTTTCTTATTTTCTTCAAGAATCCTGCATTAGACCAGGAACAGTTTGAGAGAAGTAGCTGCTTTACTGACAGACATGTATGCTTCATAAAACTGTCCCCATCTATTACTTGTTAATATTATTATATTGTACATGATTTTTTGAAGTGAAATTATGACTTTGGTCCTTCGGGGGTTCGACCTTTTCTGTAATGTAGACCCTCTATCAATTTTGTACAGTGTAGCATATCAATTTTGGGGATATTCTGGTGGATTTGTAAAACTGTGAATTTTTTTAGGTATTCAACGTATTTATCATTATCGGTTATGCTTTGGTGGCTGCACGCTTGATTCTGTTCCGCGTTGTTGTGGGTTTGATTCTCATTGGAATCAAATATACTTATATTCGTAATATTTTTATACTCACCTACACCAATTATTTTACACTGTATACCTTATATGCTATTAGAGATTTAGAGCAACTCCAATGCATAGGGTATATTGTTAAATATACCCTTTATCCAAGATGAAATCATTTTATCCTACTCCAATGGAGTGTGTAAACCCAATGCTAAAAAGCACTATAGTGCAAAAAGCACTCTCGAGCTCCTATTTCTACACTATGATGTATATAGTGCAAATAATAAAAAAATATTTTCCCTCACCTATTGGATCTACTTTTCACTCTCTCCCTTTCATTTTCATTTGTTTTCCATCCACCCTTCTCAACTTGCTCTGCTGTGGTTCGTGAATTCCAAAATATGTGCTCTCTTTCAAAATCACCGCTCTCAATACCAACTCAGTATCCAAATCTTCATACCAATTTGCATCTTTTTTCCATTTTCCAATGTTGCTGCCCTTTCTCAGATGAAGTGCTTCAATTTAATCACAGTATTACTAAAGGATGAATTAAAAATAATTATTATAAATGAACAACTTTAAATACAAAAAATTATAAAAGTGTATATTATAGAAGATATGGATGGAATGAGTATAAAAAAATAGATGTGTAAAACACTATTTATAGTGTAAAATAGATTTTACACTATCATAATTTACCCTAGGCATTGGAGTTGCTCTTAGAGTGGTGTAAATACATGCTCTTGTGGTGTAGTAAACACAACCAGTGTAAATATAGTATGACTATGATGTAAATGGCTAAATGCAAACCAGTGTAAATATAGAACGAGTATGTTTACATAGCAGAGCTGTATAGTATGAGTATGATCACTATGATGTAAATGCAAAGCGGTGTAAACAAAGCAAGTGCATCGCGTGTCTTCAGGGTCGAACTCGGAACCTTTATACACTTACTGGGTACACAGCCACTAAACTACAACAAAGTTCGATAATAATCAAGCGTGCTATCTACATATACTATAGCTAAGGGTGCACCGGGGTGCACCCATTCCATCGTTTAAGCATTGAATACCTGTTCCATCTTCATGGACCAGAATAGCCGTTTTCGCATGTTATTATGACTATATTTGTTGAATAACAGAACTATTTTTTGTTGATATGACTTTGTGTTTATAAGTCGCAACTTCATAATTCCATTTGACTATCACAATGATTCGATAGAGAAATAAATCAAATAATGTATCTAAATTTAATGCAATTTGGAAACCATAGCTTTTATGAAACTATGGTTTCTATTTTTTTTATATATTTTTCAACAAAATGCCAGTAATGTCTTCCTTCCTTTTAGAGAGCACTGCAAAAGTTAATCCCAAGAATATTCTTGAAGAACGAGATCCACAGTTCGATGGGATGCTTAGTCAAATGGTTGGTAGAATTCGTGCTAAGCCTGGAGGGAAATCCGAAATGGGTGAGGTATGTGTCTGTGTTTGAAACACGCGGTGGTACGTCATCTAATACTACATAAAATCTAATATACTCCGTAATATGTTATGCCACTTCTTTGGGAGATCTTGGGCTCCTTATGGCTCTTGGCTAATCTAAATTAGGACTCCCTTCATTTTTCTTAACTTACCATTATGACTCTTGCGATACAATAAAAGTTGAACGGATATGGACACGTATAATGTTTGCATTTAATCATTTTGTAAAATATCAAGAAAATCACAGTAGTTGCCTCCCATGGCAGGCTTCAATTGTGGGAAAGTATGAGAGGCCATTACCAAAACTAAGGAACACAACGACAGAGTCGAGCAGGTACGAGGGAAGGCCAGCGCCTCCCGGGACATTGAATGTTGCGCAGTTGCGACAGATCATTATGTTGTATCATGGAAAGGGAGATGACCCTAATAATCGAGGTCCCATGGATGTCAACCAACTTGCTCATAAGTTCCAAATCGATGTCTCCCAAGTCCAAAGGATTGTCCAGTTTGTATCTCTGCCCACCGAGGACGACACCACAGAGCACAAGAAGTTCTGATTCGCGGTTACTTTTGCACCCAAACATGAAGTGAGTGCAACATATGTCTAGGGCTCAAGATGTACACTACCCTGCTCTGTAAAAAAAAAAGAAAAAGGTGAGCTTTTCTCCAGACTCTTGTTGTTTTTGCAATTTTTTACTGTCGAAAACTTCATAAAAAGTGAGAAACAAGAGAAGTTTAATGTGCTGATTTAGTACATTATTTACTAGAAATTAACTTGAACATTAACTATTGGGGAGGTAGCCACTAGCCAGCTTGTGGGATATGTATATCTTCAACCACTTTAGGTTTTTCCTGTTAATCTTCAGCATAACAAAACATAATTCTTTCTCTCCCGTGAACGAATTTTGTCCACAAATTTTTTTACTTTTCAACAGTTTTATTAAACTCCTTGAAAGTAAAGTGTCACAAATTTTATGGGACGGAAAAAGTATTTTTTTAGGGGGAACAATAATATGAAGTACGTACTATTTATTGAAATGGCGATTTCTTAAAATTGAGACATTTATTTTAAAAAAATGATTTTTTTTAAAAAACCTTTTCTTGTTCGGGCATGCGGTGTGTATGATAAACTGGTCAAAGAAATAAACATGATTAAAAAAGTTTTATAAAAAAAGGTGTTTGGGAGCTGGAACCAAACTTGGAACGAAGTAATAGAGGATCTGCCGCCACCCTTGCCCACCCAAACCAGATCCGTAAAAGGGCAAAAAAGGAAAACATGATTAAAAAAGAGTGATATAAGGTGGTTAAAACAAAGGAATTACTCCGTATATTAGGGTCTTGTTTGGCATCAGTGTTAGCGATTTGAAAAGGCTATTTAACATTAGCGTTTTCACAATTAATCTACATTATTAAAATTTTATTTAAAACGCTAACGCTAATCGAAGACGCTATTCCCAAAAAAGGCTTAGATGGTTTTTCTTAAAAATTGTCATACTTAAAAGGCAATTTATTTATTAACACTAAATTAAAATAAATGCATTACAGTTTTAAACTAGAAAGCCATAACAATTTCAAAGACTTGAAGAATAAAAAGTTGGGAAAAATTCTTATATGAGACTAAAACAAGTTCCACATACTAAAAAAATCTTCTTTATTTTATACTAAAATAAGATTTATAAATGTCAATAATATTAATATATAATGCAATAAAGCACTATGAAATGTCAACATATTTCATATTCTGTATATTCTCACAATGCAATAATCTTATTTTGGAGATTACAATATACTTCATATAATTCTTATTTTTGTGTATGATTATAATGATTTAATCTTATTTAAGTAAATTTCATCCAAAAAGAAAAAAAGTAGTAGTAGCTAGATGCAATTAGTGAAGTATATTTGGATGGATCATGTTAGACATATTTTTGATGTGAACTGTGGGAAGAAAGAAATCGATGGAGAGAATAACGGGCATAGCATCATTGCAATAAATTACGATTAAAACAAGTGTCAAGCACAGTACCAAAGAGCGCATCTAGTGTAGTGGTATCATAGTACCCTCCCACGGTACTGACCGGGGTTCGATTCCCCGGATGCGCATTTGTTTTTTTGACTTTGGGTGGAAAAGGACATATGGTAATCCTTGTTCCAAATGGAAAAATTATCTAAACTAATATCACTTTTTAACGTTTTTCCAAAAAATTAATACAGAGTATCACTTTTTATTATCACGAAAAATAATCTAATAGAAATCACCATAAATAGCACTAAAACATAGAGAAAAGTATCAAAATAGTAACTTCATGTTTTTTTCCCGAATTAGGACTTTGCACTGTGGTAATGTGGTAGTGTACATGTGCACATTACTATATTTTTTTTGTAATATATATGACCATGTTTGGTAATGTAAGTTCTATTTCTAGAATAAAAACATGGAAGTCCTATTTTTGTATATTTTCAATGTTTTAGTCCTACTTTGGTCTTTCTTCCATAATCTAATCTTTTCGCCGATTTTTGCATGCGTTTGAGTTTTGAGTCAGCATTAGAAAGCTAACGATTACTGAACATATTATTTACTCCGTAGAAAATACTACGGGGACTTGTTTTTTCAAACAAATGAAATGTTGTTATGAAATTAATGATTGTTCATTTACTCAATTAATCAGGACTAATTTCTAGAATAGTAGATTAAGACATTGATGAGTATCAATTATGTACAGTACTTCCCACCTGTATTTGTATCCATACCAAGGCTCTCCACTATAAATAGAGGCCTAATCCCTGCATTGTAATGACAATTAAGAACAATAAGAAGAGTGAAGAATCAATAGAGAAGAAATCAGAAATATATTATATCTATTCTCATAATCTCTGAGTAGTTTTTCTCTCATTTTATAACACGTTAGCAGCACGAGTTTGCTCAAAATCCCAGAAACTTTGTTCTTCTCAGAAGGTATATTTATTTTATTTTCTTCATAAACAAACTAAAATATTTTCTTAAAAACTATGAGAAGTATGCTCTGTGATTGCCTAAAGTTGGGATCCTTCACATCAGAAACTTATAGTTATAAAATAAAATTAGATAAATTAAAAAGGAATAAGTTTCCTCATAATTGCAGAAAATCACATTTTTTTTAAAAAAGGGTAGAATTTAATATGGAGTACTTAAGATTGAAAAATAAAATAAATTTTATCTTTTTAACTATTCTTGAAAGATAAGATGTAAAAAAAACTATGAAAATCAAGATATGATGAACTTACCTTCATGCTACTCTTGAATTTTTGATAGAAATATATAATCTCACTTTTATAATTTTTCTTTCATCCTTTGCTCTGTAAGCATGTATTATTTTTCTGGTTTGGAAAATAAAGATGATATAGGATAAATCCTAATGAATAGTATTCAGTATATGTAAGAGGAGAGAGTATATAAATTGGATGGTGTATTGTTTAATTGTATAAAAAAATTAAAGGCAAATAATATAAGGATAATATCAAGTACATATAATTGAGACTACCCAGCAACTCCATGTTTAATAAAGAATCTTTTTCGTCCTATTATGAATGTATCACCTGCATGTACTTCATGACACATCATATACTCTATATCTTTTATTTATAAATAACTAGTATTTTGACCCGTGATCGAAAGAAATTTATGTCGATTCGGAATTTATTTTAATGAAAATTTTATTTTTCAGAATAAAGTAAATATATTGCTCACATAATCTTTAATACAACAAATGAAAAAAGCCAAAGTAAAATAAATAATATTTGAGGAACAGAATGTAGAGTTAACAATGTTTATTTTAATACCAAATTTTCTGAAAGATTTCAGGGTATACAACATTTTTGGTATGATTGCAAGGGTTTCTATTGTCATCTAGAACTAATATTTTTAATCCGGTCTTTGTCTTCACTTGTGAAACAACAAAATATAGTTGACCATGTGTGAACAATGACTTGGTTAAAAATAATCCCACAAATGACAATGTTTGACATTGACTTTTGTTGATTGTTATAGCAAAACATGAGGTGATCGAGAATTATCTTCTTTGGAACTTCAAGGGTAGCCCTAAATCAGATGGTACCAAATTCATTCTAAGGATGTAAACTTTTTCTCCGACTCGATTTCCCGAAACCACAATTGCACCGATAACATTATTTCGCAGCTCTTGAACGAATAATTTTGTCCCATTATACAATCCAGGTGTTTGGTCAATGTTCCTCAATAGCATAATCGGTACCCCTTTTTTCAAGACTATTTTGTGGTTTGGGATTCCCAAACATTTGATTTCGTCAAAAACTCAACTGTTATCCAATCGTCATCAACACCTACATCTGCTTTTGCTTGGCACGAAGAATCAGAACTCAAGTACTCCTTTTCATCCCCAGGAATGAGGGACAAAACAAATTCATTTATCATTTCAATTACTTCGAGAGTTGGTGCCAATAGTGCTTTATCCTCATAAAAGAATAATTTTTCATATTTTCAAACATAAGTAATTTCCCAATATAAGACTTAAACTTTTTCAAATTTTTCATTTTTCATTTTTCAAATTTTCCATTTTTCATATTTCAAACTTTTTCCCAATATAATTTTTCAATTTTTTTATTTTTCATATCTGCACTAAATAACACTAAAACAAAAGTCATTTCCCAAAATAAGACTTAAACTTTTTATCCCTTAAATAACACTTAATAATGTCTAGAAGGAGAAATAATATCCTGTGACGGTGAACATTTGTCTAAATAATGACTAATGGATAATGACTAAAAGTGCTACATTGGGAAATAAAAAACATATGTTGCTATTTAGGGAAAGTCATTATGTTTTAGTGTTATTTAGGTAAATTCCTCTGACTATGAATATATATATCGAGTATCAATTATTTCAG